ACAGGCCGGCCCCCGCCGCTGCCCCTGGCGCCGAGGCTCAGCTCCCCTGTTTGTTTAAACCCTGCACTCTTCCCTTCCGCTCCGCGTGAGGCCTTGGGCCAAACTCTGTCTGAATCACCCCCGGGCCCGCGGCGCTGGTGGCGGCTCCCCCAGCATGCTCGGCAGCCTGAGCACCCCGGCGCTCGGGGGGGTCCCCCCGGGGTTCTGGTGGGCCGGGAAAAAGCCAAGCCCTGGGTGGGTCAGACCAAAACACGCTTCCAAATAGGCTTTTTTATTTCTAGAAAAAAAAAAAAAAGTAAAAAGAAGAAGAAACAACGCAATGTGTTCCAAGCCAAAATCCATCAAACGTCGCTAATCGAGAAGATAAAGCTGTTTCCTGTGGGTGGCTGTTGTGCAGCCCATGCTTAGTGCAGAGTAAAGCCATGAGAACTTGGCATCGGTACTTGTTCAGTTGTTCGCTGGCGTTCCTTCCAGGTTAGGTTCAGGCAAGCGATAGTCTTGTAGCCATTTGTTTTTCTTGAAAAAAACCATAAAGCTGTTCTTCTTCTTGCAGAAATTTCTCGGCGCTTTGGATGCAAAAGATGTTTTCTTCTATTTTGGAACCAGTTCAGTGTCTGATGGTATGCAGGGGCTTCTTCCTTCTTGATTTTGGAACACGTCTGTCAGTTTATTTCTAATCCTGTACATTTGATAACGCTAAGAACGCTTATTAATGAGCCCCACTCTGACATGCATTTAGCGTTTCTGAGTCATATTACTCAGTGTGAAAGCAGTTGAACTACTGGGTCAGTATTTAAAATCTGGTGAAGGAGGTATGATAAATCTTTTTGCACATTTCTATTATTGTCCTCATTCTCTGTATTGGTATTTTGCTACGAGATTAACAGATCCAGGTCTTCTGAGTGGGATAAGAATAGCTTTGAATGTACTTGATATTTTTTAGGTTTTTTAAAATAAACACATTGAGATACTAGTATTCTTGGTCTGGATTAATGGTAGTTCAGAATTAAGATATGTTTTAAATTCTCAAATCCTTAGAGCAAGGCTGTTGTCTACTTGTGAGTTCACCTGGTGCTCATCCCGGTGTCTGTGTCCGGATTATGCTAATTCTCACTCAGTAATACTTAACATCTGAGGAGGTAAAACTGTCTCAGCCTTTGTTAAATGGACTGTTCTCCTTATTGAGAGAGCAAAAGCACCTGTAATTCTGGAACCAGTTTCAGAGCTGTTGTCTGTTCCCAGTCAGATTATCCTCACTTTAGAATACATGAAAGCAAAGAAGTTCTTTGACAGTTGACACAAGGGCCCCGAAAGGCCACAGTGATCGTGTGGAGAGTACTTTTTACCTAGGGAGATAGATCATTACATTTGGTTTCAGTGTATCATCATTTCTCATAACCGTTCCTCTTGTTTTGGTCTTGATTAATTTCTTCCAGTACCCGAGTTTGTTGTTGCTGAGCCAACTTGCCCATGTAAAGAAGAACAGGTTGGGCTGACGTCCTGTCGTATTCAACATTGCTCCATTGAGGCCTGGGGAGAACTCTACGCCTTTGAATTTCTAGAGGACCATACCCTCCTTTCCTCTTCCTTTGTGAGCAATCAAGTGGTGAACTCTTCCTTTAGCTTATTGAAGCGATTCTCAGGCAACTGCTTTGCAGGTGGAAATCCACTGCAGCCTCCTGAGGCGAAGTGCAGAGTCACTTACTGTGAAGGGCAGCTGGTAAGTATGCACTGAATTAACTCTTACAAGCTCTTGCAGCCTTCGTAGGTTTTCAGCTTGATGCACCAAGTTTGAGAACCATCCATTTAATAAATCTGAGCATGACAAAGGAGAAGCAGGAAGGATATGGCACACAGTTCTCCATTGGTAGCAAATGTCTTTGGAATCACTCAGAGATGGAATTTCATCTCCTTTAGCAAGGAGTCGTCGTTGCAGATGGGGAAAAGATTCATATCAGGCCTGTCAGAAGCCAAGATGTAGCCCTGCTGAAGGACCTCAGCTTCTCCAGACCCCACGTTCTCTTCAGAAGTGCTGCAAGAGAGGCAAATGCGCGAAGAGGTAATGTACATGGAGAGGAAGCCCTGCTTGTTCTGCTTGGAAAAGCTGTCTTCTTGTAATGAGGTTGCTTGCATGGGCTCAGTGGAAGAATGTGTGGATCTGTGGGATCTTTTATGTTGTCTTGCTTTTTAAACTCCCTGTGTCCCTCTGTGCCGTTCAGCAGTGCCGTTTCCTTCTCGCCTGCAGAAGAGGGCTGAGGGAGCTGTCAAACATCTGGAGCTGATGGTCGTAGCAGGCCCAGATGTTTACTTGTACCACAAAGAGGACACGGAGCGGTATATTCTCACCAACCTGAACATTGTGAGTAGCTTTCTGTTTGGATTGCTGCCCCAGTGTGAGAGCTCACAGTATCATGGGCTGTGTCGCAGGCAAATGGACCTGTGTGAGTGCACGTTCAGAGATGTTTGTGGATACCCGTGGTAACCTGCTCCTGTGCAGGGTATTCCTCTCTGCTTCCCTTGGCACAGCTTGGCAAACTTTCCCTTGTACAAAGAGCTGCACATGAAAAAGTGCTTGTTGGAAGCTTTGGGATTGTAGCCTTAGTTAAAGTCCATTAGAAAAATATAACTCTTAATTTCAATACTGATATTGCTGTATGTCAGATACATTAGCAAGAGTTCTGTCACCAGAGCCTTGATCCAGCCCCGTTGCTTTCAGTGAGTTTGAACAAGATCCACTGAATTAATCTTACATTTTACATCTCAGCATTTTATTTCTACTGCAGGATTTATCTGAATATCTCCCTTTGCTATTATTAAGAATTTGTTTGTGCATTTTCTGTGGGAGGATATTGCAAAGCAGTCTTTAGCATTCACTCTCCTGCCTTATGAAACTGTTTTTCATGCAGATTCTTCTCTCTGCGTCAGAGTATCTGATGAGTCTAACAACAGTTCCTGTCTGCTGACAGTTTTATCTCCTTTTGTAGTGAACACTTTAATGTACTTCCCGGTGACTTTATAGTTGTCCCTTATGGTTACCAGGTGTGTTACCTTTGTAGTGAACACAGCCCTGTTATTGGGAACAGGTAGTGGGAGTCACCAAGGTGCCTTCTTTATTAAATCTTTTCTATCTCTTAACAGGGGGCAGAGCTGCTGAGAGATGCCTCACTGGGTGCTCATTTCAGGGTTCACCTTATGCAAATGCTTGTTTTGAGAGAACCAGAGGTAAGCAGGGAGGACTGTGTCCAAGTGTTGTCCAAGAGTTTTCTAAAAGCTGTATGAAATGTGCAAATGTGTGCCTTCACTCTAGGCAGAGGTAAACATCACGACAAATATCACCTCCTCGCTGATCAGCGTTTGTGAGTGGAGCAAGAAGGTCAACCCCCAGAATGACTCTGACCCCCAGCACGCTGACATCGTCCTCTACATCACCAGGTACTGCAGCTCCCCTGCCCTGGCAGGGGACTGGGAGCAGGGATGATGCTGTCCAGCTGTTAACACAGTGGCAGATATTCACAGGGCCTTTGGGAATGGCTTGATTCTCCTGTTGGGGGTTGACTCTCCTGCCCTTAGTGCAATTAGTCAGAGATACTGTTTCTTCAGTTTCTGAAGGAACTGGAATATTTCCCAAGCGCTGACCAATCAGACTTGAGCGGACATGGTGTGCTTCCAGCGTGGCACAGCCAAACCCACTGCAGCTTTTTGTGGGCAGAAAAGTTGAACAGTAACTGGAAGTGAAAACCCATGGGTGTTTTCTATGGAAGATTTTTAATGCTGCTCTGACTCAGACCTTTTGTCTGACTTTCAGGCTCCTTGCTTGAAATTGCCTTGGCTAATTTGTTGAAGGCAAACTTTTCTTGGGTGTAATGGATTTGTTTTGGTGCTCTTTCTTAAAAGAGATGATGATACTGCTCTGTCTCTTGCAAGTAGTCATTTCATTCTGCTCTGCTTGTCTGGGGTCATGGGGATTTTTTAACCACAGATTTTGAGCAGTGGGTGTTCGTGGGACCCTACTGCCACCATCCTGCCCCAGGGAGCTCCATGTGTCAAATGTTAGATAGGTGGCAGAATTAGATCAGGAAGGTGCCAATAAATTCAGCTGAATGTCTAGACCCAACTTTATTAGCTGCAATAGTTCTTTGCTCTTTCATCTGTATCTGTCTCCCTTACTTTAGGTTTGACTTGGAGTTACCTGATGGTAGCAAGGAGCTACGTGGAGTGACTCAGTTAGGTGGAGTCTGCTCCTCCTTCTGGAACTGTGTTATCACCCAGGACACTGGTTTTGACCTGGGAATCACCATAGCCCATGAGATTGGGCACAGGTCAGTAGGAACGCCCCAGAGCAGCCTAGTATGTTTTATTCAGGTAAAAACATTCAACAGTTTAAAGGACTCAGAAGAAGGAAAAGGATATCTTGGCATAACAGGGGATTTCCTACAGATGATCCAAAACTTTTCAAAGAGTTCCTTGCATTTCTTGTATGCCTGCATGCTCTGTGACAATTAGAAGCTGCAAAGAAGAGATAAAACCGTTGTGACCACAGAAGAAGCAAAGGTTGCCAAGAGAGCTCAGTCCTTGCTTAGGCTCTGGGGGAACCCAGCCTCTGGGTTTCTTCTCCTCAGGGCACTGTGCTTCTTTTGTTACAGTCTTGGAATCCCCCATGATGGTGAGGGGAATGGGTGCAGCAGCAGCGGTTACATCATGGGTCCAGCAGGAAACC